TTTATATTTGAGGACACTACCTCATGTTTTGTGAGTATTCATATCAATTTACTCAATAAAAATGGAAACATTGAAGTAACTGTCTTTTAGTTATGAAAAAAACAAGATCGGCAAAAAAAAATCGAGATCGGCAGGTAAGGTTGCCTAAGGATCGGTGATCGGCCAGAAAACTGCAATCGGTGCACCCCTAAACATTACCTTAAGTATTGCTCTCTGTAAGCCTTTTTTATTAATATATTACTCACTTAGAATTTTTCTGTAATTTTCAGTGTAGGTGTTGTAATTCATTTGCAGCTGTTCTTTCTCTGCAGTGCAGGTGCTGTAGCTGGTTTGTAGCTGTTCTTTCTCTGCAGTGAGGGTGCTGTAGCTGGTTTGCAGCTTGAGTTTCTCACTGTAATTGGAGGAGAGATTTGAAGATATCTGAGCCATTTCAGCTCTGTTCCTCTTAGCTTCTTCTCTGAGTCCATTATCTGTAAAAAAAAGGAAAGAGAATCACACTACTAGCAGCTCAGATGGCACTGTAAGTAACATTTCACTTTTTTATTTACTTCACTGATATTTTTTACCCTAAGTGAGGAACATTGAATGTTCAACTTTCTAATCACAGACACACTGTACTAACCGGATGAGTCAAGCCACACAGCACACTCAAAAATAAATTTAGCAAGCACCTGTTTTGTTAATTTTACTTCCTCTGCCAGCCTGAGGAGAATGGGCTCCCCCTTTGAGCCTATAGTTCCTCCCAAGGTTTCTTCCTGTTAGGGAGTTTTTCCTTGCCTCTGTCACCTCTGGCTTTGAGACAAGAGCTGTCACTATCAATTATATCAATAATCGAGCAATCTATTAATTAATCTGATGATTAATTGAGTAATCGTTTTTATATCATATAATTTAAAATAAACTGGCACAAGGCAGAAACTAACCAACTACTGCAAGGTGCACAGTCAGTCACATATATGGCCAGTTTAGGCACTCCATGTAAGTTGCATGTTTTGTACAGTAGAAGGAAGCTGGAGGACCTGCCGAAAAGCCACTGTGCTGCCCTCACTTTAAAGGCTTGTACGATATGTTGTCAAGATTGACACGGCATTTCATGCCCATACAATTGTCAGTCTGCTTGGTTCAAACCATCAGTAAGTTGCGCGAAAACTTTTTACTTAGTCATAAGAAACAAAACTTAGCAAGCTTTGTCATTGTAATGAAGGATCCTTTTCAACATTACCTAGTATATGTTAAATAAAAATCAGTCTTAAGTTAACTGCCACTGCTTTTGCATGAGCTCTGCATGTACTCTGAGACAATCATAATCATTCTCGTCCTTGCTGTTGGACTCAATCATGGACCGTGTGGCACATTTGTGAGAAAATAAATAAAAATAAGTAAAGAAGAGGAAAAGTGAACAGGAACTAGTTATGAAAAGACATTCATCTTCCACTGCATGGAAATATTTTGTATTCCACAGAGACGATGTTGAGCAATAACAAGTGATTTGTCGCCACTGCTTTATGTCTGTTCATAACTCTGTAATTAATATTACGGAGTAGCTATTTGCACCCTATTTGTCCATCTGTCTGGCTATTTACACCCAGCATCTCCTCAGTCGCTGCCCCCTGACCCCACTAAAAATGTCAACGCTGTGCTGCTTTCATGTTGCAAGTTACTTCAATGGCTAAAGGCACCAAAGTGGGATACAAATATAAAAGGTATAACGAGAATAATACTAGTAACAACAACAACAACAATAATAATAATAATAATAATAATAATAACAATGCAAATAGCATCTGCCTTAATATTATATGGCTGTTATGTACCATATTATGTCACATGACGCAACTAAGTGACAGGGGTCACCTTTATTTTAGCAGCAGTTATTTTGACATACAGGAATTATAGAAAGTAAACTAAGCAAAATAATTTAAGTCAAAGTGGTGGCAAAGACAGGCTAAGAAACTCCGAGAGGCTAAATGGCACGTGATAACCTTGCATTACTGAGTCTGTCAAACTGGATGTCTTCCTTTAAGATGCATTGCATTGCAGTTGTGCTGTGGTTATATTTAAGTTCTGCTTTTCAATACTGACATAGGACTGTATTTTCATTGATTTTAATGTTAAGTGCTTCCACACAACAGATGCTTCCATTCTCTATTTGGACCTCATCTGCTATGTGTTGACTTCCTTCTGCCATATTGGCAAGTAATGGAAAAGGTAATTTTTAATTGATACTTTGTAATAGTCAAGTAATCAAGTTTAACTGAGTAATTGTGACAGCTGTATTTGAGACAATGTAATGTTTTGAAAAAATAAAATTGAATTTATCTAAAGTGACTTGCAATCGTGAAAACAGGGTCCGCCAGTCCCTTGAGCGATCACGGATAAAGGCCTTGCTTTGAAGGGCATCTCTGCCAACCACAGAATCTGAACCAGCCAGTTTCCATTCACCGGTACAGAGTCATAACTTATATTCACCGGTACAGAGTCATAACTGAATCATATACAGGCCCCCAGAAACAGTGTTATTTTAATTCACATGACCGCCACTAAGGAAGTTGAAAAAATGAAAATCTAAGCAAATATACTGTTCTATATTTAGACAAAATTCTAATTTTATTAATAAACTGACCAACATCTAATGAATTAGATTAATTTGCTTGCACTTAGGCATATTGTCATATTTTAGGAAATCTTATCTAGTACGATTTTCTTTTCTAACTGCACTGGCAGATAATTTTGCTAGTTTTAGTTCTTTTCTCAAAACAGAAACAGTTCATCTTAAATTTGAAAGGTAATTTTTTATAATATTAAATAATAATGAATGCGGCAAATTGAAAGCACTGAGGGTTGTAATGAAACCGTTCTGGCAGAGAGGTATAAGAATGTTATACTTGCTTAGATTTTCATTTTTTGCAGTGTAGGGCCTAGTATTAAAATACTATTAACAAACTTACTGTAAGTAAACAGCACTATGACAGTCATCAGCAGCAGAAAACACAATATCCCAAGACACACTATAGCCAGTCGGTAGCATCGTCTCCCTGTGGGCTCAGATTCTGAGGGGAAACAAACATGTATCACAGGGGATCATGGGAGAGTAGAGGGATGTTTAGAGATGTTTCCCAAGTGATTTTATTTAAATACCACTTCAGCATTCAGTCAGATCTATATAAATTGCCCTTCCTCCCTGCTCATGATTAAATTTACATGAAAAAGACTAGAGTGTGGTAGACTGAACAGCAGACAAAAACTCATAGTACTCTTATTAATCATCATCTGTGTATCCATACCTGAATGTTGAGTCCGCTTTGGAGTCTGTTCCCATTGGCTGGATGTGCATTTTGAATATGTTTCAATGATATCTGCATTAGCATAAATATCCTCATCCATATTATAGTTTGTATTGTTCTGGACCAATCACTAGAATTTTTATTTCTATCTTTACTTTCAATGTGCAGTAACCAGCTGTACTTGTGCTCCTCTCTGTACTGCTTTGTTATCTGTAATGTGCAGTGCTCAACACTTTGTGGTCTATATGATATTTAAAGCATCGTATGTGTGAAGTGAGATTAAGTTTCGTTTCTGCCATCTGTTACTGCATACATACTTTGGTAGCATACAATCAATATATAGGCAAAGATGAGAAAGCAGCAATAAAAATACCCATTTTGCTCCATCTAAACCTTCTCCTAGATTTAAAAAAAAGCAGGCAGCACTACGACAATCGTCAGCAGGAGGAAACACGATATCCCAAGCCACACTATCGTCAGTCGGTAGCATCGTCTCCCTGTGGGCTCAGATCTTGAGAAGGACACAAATATCTCCATCACAAGGGATCATGTTCGAATAGAGGGCAGTTTAGATATTTTCAGAATGATTTATTGAAATATCACTTCATTATTTAGTCCAGTTTACATAAATGGCCCTGCCTCTCCGTTCATGATTAAATGATTAAAGGAGCTTGATGAGTCTAGGAAAAAAAAACAGTCAACACAGGAATTTGAATTATTGAATTTGAATTCATTATTATTTGAATTATTTATCAAAGCACAGGTGCCTTTCAGTTCTAACGTAATTAGTAAACCTGAAGTAGCTCAAAGTGTCCTCCTGATATAGATAATCTGGTCACCCTTTTCCAAAATGTTTTTAAATATTTGGCAACCCCAATATATTAGGATACAATGGTAGGCATTTTGCTGGATGGTGAGCCCTTCCAACATGACTGAAACCCCGTAACGTCAAGTTGTTTAGATAAAGACTGATGGGATGACCCTCTGGAAGAGAAGTCATTCCAAGAGTGTCATTTCTCAAATATTGAAGCTGTACAAGAAACCAAGTCATTCAACTCAAAATAAAAGGCTGGTCGCCCATGTAAGACTAGCATGTGACAGAACAGAATGATAGGGAGACTAAGTGAGGGATCGGTTCAACACCACAGCTGGAATTGCCCACCAAATCAGTTCTGGACAGGGTAAGAATTTGTCTTAATTGGGTCTCGTTGTCTGCAGTGACGTTGTGCCAATCATTTTAGGTAGGCACGTGCCTACCCAATATTTTGTAAAAATGTAATGTTTAAATTAATTATTCAGTCAACCAATAATGTGCCTACATTGGCTGGTTATTAGACTTGCAGTCTGGGTAATCTGGCCAATGAGTGAGCTTCCTCCGTCAGATCCCATCTATTAATCCCCTCCCCCATCCCCTATCATTTCAGTCTTCTATCATTAACCTGCACCACACCAATGAGTTATCATGTCATTCACAATTCACATGTCAGTGGCAGTAAATGAGATTAGCTATCTTTAGCTGTTTGCAATTGCTGGGAAACAGATGTGCTACTGCATGTATAAGAAGGCAACTGAATTGTTTCTGCGTTGTTGTCCTACAGCTGTATGCTGCATTAGTCTGAAACTATCAAAATACATCATGCGCATGTCTGATTGGGTAGCTGTGTAATCAATGTGTTAGCACAGACGTACTGTGAAGCTGCATGTGTGTGTGTCTGTGTGTCTGTGTGCGCATGCACTAAGCTTCTCGCACACCCAAAGCGTCCTTCCAGAGTACCCGGCATCATTCCAGCTCTTTAACAATTTTATTCCTGCAGCATTGTGTGCACAATCCTCATTATTACAGTTATTATAGTTACCATGCTCATGGATTTTGAATGTTGACTACTGATTTACGCATGAGAGTAAATTCAATTTAATTTCTAGGGAAGGTGAATTTTGAGATCTTCCAATCAGTATTTCTTTAGTTCTCCTTTTAAGTTCCTGTTGTTTCATTTTATTATGTTTTGCTTAAGTAGTAAAATATTGTAAATTATAGATTTATTTTCCAATCTCATCTGTTCCTGTTGGCTGTTGATAATAATCAGATCCGATCCTCTATTTTTACAGTACTGTTGGCTTTCCTACCAGGTTTATGTCACAATGGAGAAGTAATACAACCCAAGCCTAAACTTTCTCCATCCATCAGGACAGAGTTGGACTGAAGAAATTAATTTTGCTTTCAAAAGGGTAAAAACCAGCAAAACCCTAAGGCAGGTAGCAGCATGAGAACCTTGTCAGCAGGAGCAATAACTCGTGGCACCACTTCTCTATCATACCACATTTTCATTTTATCCTGAGAGCAAGACAATACCCATTATGAGCTAAACTAACACAGTTTGAATAGGGAAATTATGGCATTTTGCAAGTGTCTGTGTTCTTGAAGTGTTTGACCAGGTGTGTGATTTAGAAATACAGAGTAGAAGGAACACTTCTGCAATTCTGAACAGCACTGTGGTCAGTGGTAGTTTTTTTTTAATCAGATAACTTCTTCTTGAAAGAAACACTGGAAAATCAGCACACTAGTGAAACTGCAGAAGGATGTGAAACAAGGATGTGAATAACCAAACATGTATTTCACACAAACACTTTCCTATAGGTTTTATGAAAGGTAAATATTGTCAGAGTCGTAAAGTGAAACTTGAAAATGTAAAAGCTGGTTAAGCAGAATTCTCTCCTTAGGTATAAAAACATAATGGGCTCTCTTTTGACAATCTAATGCAAAACGTAAAGCACAAAGTGCAACTAACATTTGTGGGCAAGTCCAGATCCATTTACCTATTTTGACGATGGAAAAGCCAGACAAAAGGTTGTCCAAACTCTCTTAATTATTCAGAGGTGTGTTGTGGGTGTAACATGCAATGAACCAATCGGAATGGCACATCACCTCACCTTTAAAAGGCGCACAAGCTATGGCAGATTGTTATTATAGCGGCGTGTTTACCTGGCAAACCAGATTGGTTTTCGCCCCAAAGAAAGGGATGTGCTCATGCACAAGGTGATAATGCTCAAGCACATCATCTACGGGAGTAGCACTGTTCCACCTAAGCCTTTTGGGGAGAAGCAGGTGTGGGATGAGATAGCAGCGAGTTGCTCAATGAGCATAGTGGCTGGGAACGGAAACTTAATTATGCTTGATTTCTTATTAAAATTTTGGGTCTGGAGTTTACAAAATATAAATAAAAGTGCAATCTTTGTTCATACAACCTATGACTTTTAAGGTTTAAAATGTTCAAATAGAAGGCATTAGGGGTGTTATTTTTCTACATCTCACACTTTAGTTTCCTCACAGATGATTCAGCACTTCTGCCAGCTAATCCTTGCTGCTGCCGGCATACATTCCTTTGTTGGCATCGGCACATTCAGTTTTCTAATTCTAATGTGTCCTCATTTATGTCCAACACACATCCATCACACATGGCAATGCTACGCAACATACAACATACCACAAAGAATGCCATGACCTTCTGAGGGCTGTATTGCTGTGTTCCACCTGACTGGCGTAAATTTCTGAAACACATTTTCAGCAATCCAAATGTCCTTTAAATTACAGTATGTGCTTAAATTTGATAATGAACTTTAAAGATTTTTTAATGATATGGTTTGTTCTTTACTTAATATATATTTATTTTCTTTTGGTGTTTCATTAAACAGTATGATTACAAGACAGGACCAGATGTAGTTTATAAAAAGAATATAAATGAAATAAAACAAAATAACAACCATTAGTGCATTTCAAGCACGTACCTGTGTTCGTAATGAGTATCGTGCACCTGCATGTTTCTAAAACATGCCGCTTAAATACTGTTTCATAATGCGCCACTGACTTTAGACGTGGTTTTAGTTGGTCAAAAGTGTAGTGCCATTTCAATGCCTTCAAATAGCAATGCGCCAACAATGCACCCAGTCATGCCTCATTTAAAAAAACATCGTTCCTAGGAGCACGAAGCGGTAGCAAAATCATTTGCTATTTTAACTATGTGCATGGTGTGAGAATGAGCAATGCGTTGGTATGAACCTAACAAAACCACTTTGTGTCGCATTTTGCGCCAGTGGAAAATAGAGCCCAGTAACTTTGTTTCACATACAATTGTGATCCCAGTCCAGATGCTATACTGGCTCAGTGGGTCACATTGTGGCCTCAGACCTCCAGGGTTGTAGGCCAACAAAAACCCTGTACATATGGTTCTTCAGTTTCAGTTTATGTATTTGTCATTCTAACCGAATCTAAGACACAGTGGGAGGAAATTACATTCTCAAGCCCAGAAATTATGCAATAGGGGAAGGGGAAAAATAACAAAAAGTAAAAACCACATAAATAAGAAGAATACAAAGACCGGGCATTAACTTATAAAGTGTAACTCAATACCCTAGTTCAAAATTTAAAATGTACAGCACCAAGTATAGTTATTAGGGACACTGGTGTAACTAGTGAGACTATCTCCTATAGTCAGTGTGTGTCTTGTGATGGACTGACATCTTCCCCAGGGTGTCCCATGTCTCAAGCCCAGTGCTTCATAAGAACATAAGAAATTTACAAACAAGAGGAGGCAATTCGGCCCATCAAGCTCATTTGGGGAGAATTTATCTAATTGTTTCTTAAAGTTCTTAAAATCTTATCTAGCTCTGATTTAAATGAACCCAAGGTTTTAGCTTGCACTAGACCAGTGGTTCCCAAACTTTCTCTGCAGGGCCCCCCTTTTCTAGATAGGAACATTATTGAGCCCCCCCAATTCAAACTACACAGGTTCAGATTCAAACTTTATTTGAAATACAACTCCCTTTTCTAATTGAGCGAAACAAATGCAATTACAAAATACAAGGGGTGCAATTTCACCACTGTGGGAGAAAAAAGAGAAATCAATTAAAAATAAAAGTCCAGCATAAGTTTGAAATTATGCAAATGCAGATTTAACATTCCTGTTAATATTCATTGGCGTACACAAACTAAAGTTTGTTTTATGATTACCGCATTTTGTTTTTAATGATAACCGCAGGTTTCAGCCTATACTATAGCACAAAACAACAATAAATCATACCCATTAATTGATAGTCTCCCTGCACTATTTCTCCCGAATATCACGTAAAGCAGTGAGAACTGGTTTTCAGTTAATTTACCTGGTAAAATAAAGTCTAAATAAATTACATAAATGCTCTAATAGTACAAGT